TAATAATAATAATAATAATAATAATAATCTCCTTTTAGCAACAGATATCGCCACAATTCACTGTACAGAAGTAAGATCAAAATTTAGTCCAAAACTGTTAAAGTAATATCCCGCAGGCGGTGCTTGGCGGGGCAGTGTCGTATACTGTACGAGAGGACCGCGAGCACCTCCAGAAATGACCCTCTTCCCCCTTTTTCCTCCCTCTCTTCCCCTTTTCCTCCCTTCCTCCCCCTTTTCCCCCTCCCCTTCTCTTGTTAAAACTACCATTTTATTTTTCGGTTGAAAATAAAGAATCATTGGTATAATTTATATTCTTTAATTCTTATGTTTCTTCCAAAAATTTGGCATTGGAAATTAATCCCTTTGAGCTTTGTTCTTCGTCTTCATGAGTCTCAAGATATAGTGTACACACACTCATACAAGTATCTTAAAAATTTCGTGTGAGACAAACACAGCGGATGAATCACCTTGACAACCCTACCGAGACAACAGGAGTCACGGTGTTCATTTGGAAATTCATCGGACTGCTCCGTAAAGATACTTTTTGGAGTGTGTGTATCTCGGGAAGTCCATGAAGAGCTCCTGACCCAAATCATGACCTTCCTCGTGTCTTCCTTGTTCCTTGTCCTACCGCTGTCTGATTCAAATTAAATTGAGGATTCAGAGCCTTTGAAGCTCCTTTTGACAATTTCCACCTAAACTGTGGAGTTAGGAAGCATGGCTGTGAGGAACTTATTATCCTAAAACCTTCTGGTAAATAAAGAATATAATAATAATTAGTGACACCTGAGTTCCTTAGTGCTGTAACAGTGTGTCTGAACAAACATAAATATTTTGTCTCCATAATCTTATAACATACTCGTACCTATGACAGCTTCAGGTCACTGTATTAATTGTTATACAGTAATACCGACTGGCCATAGTAGTCACTAACTGATGATAGATTCCAACAAAATGGATCACATCAGCGTGTTGTTGTGATCAAAGTAGTAGCGGTTTATCTCAAGTGAAGGAGGATGGCCGGCCGGGAGTCCATCTCGTCCAGCTGTTTGTGTATGGTATGGAGTTGCCGCCAACACAACGAGTTGAGAGAGGGAGGGACAAAGACAAAAACCTCACTATTCACACTCGCCAGCCTTTAGCCCTAAGCATGATAATCGATTGATATTCCTCACTAAGCTTTATCTAAAGTGGTAAATATAATAACAAACTCACTGGCCCATACTGGCTGTTAACACACCTAGTAATGTGATCTATTAAAACAAAGGTTTACTTCTCTCCATACCTAACAAACAACCAGCTTTATCCAAATACTTTAATTCAATATGTTTTCCTTGAACAAAACATCCTTAAAACGCGAAAATAACCGATATATTACGACTATATTTGGCATAATCGACGGTGCCATATTGACCCACATACGCCGAGATATTGTAAGGTTATGTAAGGCAACATTAATGATGTGAATATAACACACAGTCATATCTACAAGAGCCTCAATATATATTCTGACCCAGGCACGTCAAGCAGAGGTGATCCAGACCATAGAACAGATATTGGAGATGATTAGAATTGATTAAGGAAGGCAGATTGGTGCTGAGGTGAATGTTGTACAGTACATATCCGTGGATCCGTTTTCTTTTTGGGAGTAAATATTACGCGTTGAGAAAATAGGTAAACCTACAGTGATTTACTTGCATTATGAGAGTGTATAATGTATCATAGTATCTTTGTATTTGTTGTTCTACAGTATATACAGATGTTCTTCAGACTACAATTATTCACTTTTATTTGGAGACGTCTGTAATGATAAGCTTAGCAACAGGAAAACAATTAGACCATTTAGTTAGGTGATAAAATTGGTCCTGCATCCAAATATAATTGTTTCGTTTTATGTTCATGACTATCAATCATATTTGCGCTGTTTCTTACGATTTTCTTAACTCCTAGAATGGGGAAGCTCTTGTGAATTATATAAGTTTTTATGTAAATTCAACCACAAATAAACAGCCAGAAATGTGTCAGTGTACTAAGTGATGCAGTCAATGTATAATTTGTATCAGAAAGATAAACATTCAAAATATTTATTCACTGACAATTGACGTCCTATATTATCGGAAATATAACGCGGATTTCTTATGTATTGATTTATCTAATTCTGAAATGTTACTGAACACTTAAGTGAATGGAAAGATTTAAGCTGAACTTATTTTCAAAAGTGATATGAATTAGCCTCAAACATTTTCACTAATAATTACTGTACTCGCTGTCATGACAAACGGATGAACTTAACTGTCTAATTTACATGTCATTATTATTTTCCATGACACTACAAACAATATTTTTGGTGTTTGATAAAGAACTGTACTTAGAGGAAGATGACTGCAACATAGTGTTGGTATACTGTGTATGTCTCTGTATACCAGAGGTCCTCTAATACTGTTGGTGGCGGCCATAACCGAGCACGTCGCTGGCCACACAACCAAACATATTTACACTAATAAAAACAAGAATATTTTTGTATAAAGGTATACTCATCCCGCTAACTTTCTTCTGTCAAATTATTGATCACTTTAAGTTAACAGAGAAACAGTAGAGGACAATACTCCAAATATTCCTTCCTAAAACACTTGTGGATGATGAGCTCCATCATAATTTTTATGAGCTGCATCATTATGAGCTGCATCATTATGAGCTGCATCATTATGAGCTGCATCATTATGAGCTGCATCATATGAGCTGCATCATATGAGCTGCATCATATGAGCTGCATCATTATGAGCTGCATCATTATGAGCTGCATCATATGAGCTGCATCATATGAGCTGCATCATATGAGCTGCATCATTATGAGCTGCATCATATGAGCTGCATCATTATGAGCTGCATCATTATGAGCTGCATCATATGAGCTGCATCATATGAGCTGCATCATATGAGCTGCATCATTATAAGCTGCATCATTATAAGCTACATCATATGAGCTGCATCATATGAGCTGCATCATATGAGCTGCATCAACCTATTTTTCAAATACTCACTAAAATAAACTGGACTTAGTAATGGTACACAGTGATTTACATCGTAATATTATACTGGAGATAAACCGTAAGTTATGACGAGATGTTAACACGACCTTCAAACAGAGACGCGTCCATTTGGAGGGTTGTAGGGACCCACCTTCATATACTGTACATTTTACACCATTTAAAAATGAGATCACTAAATTTTATGGAGCGTTGACCGCGGGGTTGCACACAGCTACACCGTCTCTTCTCCAAGTACACCAACAGATCTCTGTCTTGTTAGTATTAAGAGTTACATTTAAACCTAATTTAATCTGATCCACCCAAACCCACCTTAACCTGTTCCACCCAAACCGAATCCATACTAATCTAACCAACCCTAAACCAACCTAACCTAACCTAACTTAACATGTCCCACGCTTACCTAAACTAACCAATGCACCCAAACCTAACCTAACCTAATCTAACCTAACCTTACCTAATCTAACCTAATGCAACCTAGCATAACTTAACATGTCCCACGCTTACCTAATCTAACCTTCCATCCTAACCTAACCTAAGTTACCTTACGTCAAACCTGATGAAGTTTTCGATGTTTTTAAGCAGATTTGAAAAAGAAGATGGAGCAGTTTGTTAGCCAAGTTTACTGTATCAACAAGACATACGAAAAATCCTCTAACTACACACACAATTTATAGTGTATGATAATCTATTAGGCTTGTGTACACACTGGCGGAGCAACGATTTACTAATGGGGGCCCTCGTCAGCTGGGAGGGGGCACTCGTCAGCGGGGGAAGCACTCTTCAGCGGTGGGAAACACTCGTCAGCGGTGGGAAACACTCGTCAGCGGTAGGAAACACTCGTCAGCGGGGGGAACACTCGTCAGCCACTCTGTCAGCGGGGAAGCACTCGTCAGCTGGGAGGGGCACTCGTCAGCTGGGAGGGGCACTCATCGTCAGCGGGGAAGCACTCTTCAGCGGTGGGAACACTCGTCAGAAACACTCAGCGGTAGGGAAACACTCGTCAGCGGGGAAGCACTCGTCAGCAGGGGGGAACACTAGTCACCGGGGGAAAACATTCGTCAGCGGTGGAAACACTCGTCAGGAGGAAGCACTCGTCAGCTGGGGAAGCATTCGTCAGCGGGGAGAAGCACTCGTCAGGGTAAGCACTCGTCAGCGGTGGGAACCAACTCGTCAGCGGTGGGAAGCACTCGTCAGGGGAGGAAGCAATCGTCAGCTGGGGAAGCACGTCAGCTGGAAGCACTCGTCAGAGGGAGAAGCACTCTTCAGCGGGGAAGCACTCTTCAGCGGGGGAAGCACTCGTCAGCGGTGGGAAACACTCGTCAGGGGGAAGCACTCGTCAGGAGGAAGCACTCGTCAGCTGGGGAACTACTCGTCAGCTGGGAGGAAGCACTCGTCAGCTGGAAACACTCGTCAGCGGAAACACTCGTCAGCGGGGGAAACACTCGTCAGCGGGGAAACACTCGTCAGCGGGGGAAACACTCGTCAGCGGGGGAAACACTCGTCAGCGGTGGGAAACACTCGACAGCGGTGGGAAACACTCGTCAGTGGGGGGAAACACTCGTCAGCGGGGGGAAACACTCGTCAGCGGGGGAAGCACTCGTCAGCGGGGGGCCACTCATCAGGTTTTCATCATTAGATCTTTATAGGTAACACTGGGTCTTTATCTCAGGTGTATTATATTGTTCCACCATGTTACCGAAAAGACAATATAGTTACATCAGTTTATACAAAATGTCCGACTTTTCACTGGTAAAGTTTTTATTTATTTTTTAATAATTATACACAAAGTGAAGGAAGATCAATCACACCGACAACAATACAGAAAACAACAACAACAACAACAAGCTACACCTAAGACTCAACATACAGTACCATCGGTGTAGTAAATCAAGAATAAAGTTCATCTCCTCAAAATGAAAAGTTCTACAAAATTTAGTGGGTAAGTATGGCATGAAAGCCGCACTTATGCAACAAGAAGCAACAGGTCTGGTATTTACGTTAGAGACTGCAGCACCTCCAACATTTCTGCCACAAAAAACTCCTGGTAATGTTTCTCTGCATATTTCCGGACGCTGAGCCCCAAGTTAAAGTTGACTTGCTGGCCGGCGGAGAACGTGTGTGTGTGTGTGTGTGTGTGTGTGTGTGTGTGTGTGTGTGCGCGCGCGCGCGCGTGTGTGTGTGTGTGTGTGCGCGCGCGCGCGCGTGTGTGTGTGTGTGTGTGTGTGTGTGTGTGTTTTCATACTTTCCCTTGGTTGACCGATGTTGCAATGGGCAGGATGGTCGCCTCAGAAGCGAGTGGTACCGGGTTCGATTCTTTACGCCTCTTGACCTCTGTCTACCCAGCAGAAGTTGGGAGCCTGGACATTAATCGAACTGTGGGATAATGGTTAGTCAGTGCAGTTAGTAAGACGTCAGCTTTTTTGTTGGAGTATTACTGGACACTGGGTCACACAGCTCGTTAACTTAGGGTGTGGTTATTATATTATCAACAGCTTCTAATTCACGCTTAGCTGGTCCTAGGGCCGGCCAGTCTCTAACACGAGCGGCCACCAATATCCACCTCGTCTTCAAATTGTTCCTCCACTCTACCATTACCACGCAGTGAGTCATTCTCCCTCCGTCCACCCTCAGAGCCCACTCCACCCTCACCACCCGCTCCATCCTCACGGCCCACTCCACCCTCACCACCCGCTCCATCCTCCGGCCCACTCCACCCTCACGGCCCACTCATCCCTCACGGCCCACTCCACATTCACGGCCCGCTCCACCCTCACGACCCACTCCACATCTGCTGCCCGCTCCACCCTCACGGCCCACTCCAGCCTCACGACCCACTCCACCCTCACGGCCCAACCCTCACGGCCCACTCCACATTCACGGCCCACTCCACATTCACGACCCACTCCATATTCACGGCCCACTCCACTTCGCGGCCGCTCCACCCTCAAGGCCAACTCCTCCCTCAAGGCGCTCTCCACCCCACGGCCCCTCCAGCCTCACGGTCCACTCCACCTCACGGCCCACTCCACCCTCACGACCCACTCCATATTCACGGCCCACTCCACTTCGCGGCCCGCTCCACCCTCAAGGCCAACTCCTCCTCAAGGCGCTCTCACCTTACGGCCCCTCCAGCCTCGCGGCCCACTCCACATTCACGGCCCGCCCACCCTCACGACCCACTCCATATTCACGGCCCACTCCACCCTCACGGCCCACTCCAGCCCACGACCTACTCCACATTCAAGGCCCACTCCACGCTCACGGCGCTCTCCACCCTTACGGCCCCCTCCACCCTCACAGTCCACTCCACCCTCAGGGCCACTCCAGCCTCGACCTACTCCACATTCACGGCCCACTCCACCGTCAAGGCCAACTCTTCCTCAAGGCCAACTCTTCCCTCACGGCGCTCTCCACCCTTACGGCCCCTCCACCCTCACGGTCCACTCCACCCTCACGGCCCACTCCACATTCACGGCCCGCTCCACCCTCACGACCCACCCATTCACGGCCCACTCCACCTCACGGCCCGCTCCACCTCCGACCCACTCCACATTCACGGCCCGCTCCACCCTCACGACCCACCCATATTCACGGCCCACTCCACCCTCACGGCCCGCTCCACCTCACGGCCCACACATTCACGGCCCGCTCCACCCTCACGATCCACCCATATTCACGGCCCACTCCACCTCACGGCCCGCTCCACCCTCACGACCCACTCCACATCTGCTGCCCGCTCCACCCCTCAGGGCCCACTCCAGCCTCCGACCTACTCACATCTGGCCACCCACGCTCACGGCGCTCTCCACCCCTACGGCCCCCTCCACCCTCACAGTCCACTCCACCCCTCAGGGTCCACTCCACCCTCACGGCCCACTCCATATTCACGGCCTGCCCACCCTCACGGCCCACCTCATTCACGGCCCACTCCACCTTACGGCCCACTCCACATTCACGGCCCGCTCCATATTCACGGCCCGCTCCACCCTCACGGCCCACTCCACCCTCACGGCCCACTCCGGCTGCTCCGTGTGAGAGCTTCCAACTCCACTTGTAGTTAAGATTCATTTGGAATATAAAACACTTTTATATCCTGCGAAAATTATAAACAAAATACTTGACATACGAATATTTTTACCTCACGAGAAGCTTATGGCTCGCGCCCTTGAACTAAGAAGTATTCATCTGAAAATATGGAAATGGAAATCGAATGAAAAATCAAATCCGTTACTGGTTGAATGTTAACTCTTTTACATTTACATTTATATTATATAATTAAGGATTCATTATCAGAGCACGTCTTGATGTTGTATATTTTGGGTAATACTTGTTGACACGTTGATGTATATATCGTGACATTGATCCTCCCCTATCTGCTGGGTTATGCCACTCAGGCCAACAAGCAACAGTGAGTCAGAACTAAAGTGATGGTGTAATGGTGAACGTTATGGTGTTGCCAGGTTTACTCCTCCACAATATATGATAACATAACTGATAAGGAAGAAGAAACATTTTGTCTTTTTTTCTGGGGGTAGTTAAAGTTCCCAAGAGCAATGACGTAAGACCAATGAGGTGTGACAGAGAGACAGGTGTTATCATTTATGAGAACAGAACTGACGGGAAATGTACACATGTAACATATGCCTTAATGAGTCATAAAATTGAAACAGTTCTTCTGCTTCATATTCAGTAAAGTTAAGTTGACTTTGTGCTGCTGTCATAAGCATTTTACTCACACGCCCTTTGTACCGGCGGCTGATATTTTAATTAACAATTCAGCGTTTAAAGTGTTGTCTGGTTACCGCAGCTCAGATTACAGGCATGTTATCCTCAAGCCACAGGGAAGGAATTTTTATGTGGCACCCCATATATAAATAGAAATAAATATATATATATATATACATATATATATATATATATATATATATATATATATATATATATATATATATATATATATATATATATATATATATATATATATATATGGTAAAAAATATAATTAGTAATATATTACCTCCACAAGCCTTAAAATTGTCCATTTGGTTCATAGATAAGGTCTGTAAAATTTTATCCATATTCATTAACATTTAGAGGTCAATCCATTTTGCATATTATACTTGTAGTGTAGGACTGAATTTTCTTGTCCGCATGATACAGTCTTAATATACACAACACATTATATTGGGTATATTTCAATGTATATAGCCTAGTTGCCTATTTGGAAAGGGCAAAGAGTCAAGTATTGAGTCATAGGGACTGACAATGACAGGTTGAAACAGGAAACACAGACAAGGGTTACCATTAATCAGATGAAGTTACTTATTTCATTTATATCTCATCAGTTCTAGAACTAGCTCTTTTGTTTCTTGGTGGACTGCCAAGTAGTAAGGTTTCCTTTCGAGTTCCTGGTCCTACATACCATGCAAGATGGATGGCAAAAGGAATCTATGCTCTCAAAATCTATCTGTTCAAACATCAATTCACATTATCAACACGGGAAGAAAACAATATCACACAACTGGCTTTGTTTGTGAGCATAATGTATGTGAGATTCTGGCATGAAGCACCAATGGCTGTTCGAGCTCCATTCAATGATTTGCAGCTAATGAAGGTTTTAAAGGAATATCCTCATGAGAAAGTTGCACACGCAGCACAAGCAGCAATTAGCCGACATCTCTGGTATCTAT